AGGGAAGCACTTATTCCACTGAGCCATCTCCCAGCCCCAATAAAGTATTTTTTAAGAGATACAGAGGATGCTTAAAAGACAGTCAGTAATGTCTACTGTATCTACAAAGAGTAAAAAAATGCCAAAACGACTGGCAGGCTTTTAGGTTAGGAAACTTGGTAGAAGGTCAGACAGTGATAATCAGACACATACTCAGGTACATGTTCACTACATACACACAGGGTAACAGAAAAGAAATCAGCTTGATGAAGAATTTTAGCTGTGTACACTGTATGTCTCAGGTACTTACAGACATCCAAACAATATTTTCCAATCAGTAGTTTGATCTACAAGGCGGAAGTCTGAGATTCTTAGTATCTATAGACATGATTATGATTCTGTAATGTATGATTTTAAATTCCATTGTACACAGAATATTTCATAAGACATTGTAAATTTTCACAAACATGAAAAATTATGAGTTATGTAGAATCACAAAGTTATACAGCATGTAGAAATAAAGTAAGAGTGCTAAGCAAGTATTATGTACTGCTAGAAGGCTTTTCCTTTCAATCTTAAACTATTGCTGTGATCACATAAGTTCTCAATGAGTCAGGTTCTATAGCTATTAAAAGTACAGACAGAATTTGAAATATTGTCTAGGGGCTGAAGATACACGGCTCAGTGGTAAAGACAAGCAAGGAGCCCCCACCAGGTTCAAAGCCCAGCACTGTGAAGCAAGGAAGGAAGAAGGAAGGGAGGGAGAGAGGGCAGGAGGGAGGGAAGGGAAATGTTACTGATTTTTTTGGGGGGAGGGGGGTACTGGAAGCCAAACTCAGGTCCTCATGCTTGCCAAGCAGGTGCTGTGCCACTAAGCTATATCCCTAGCCCAGAGATTCTTTTTAAATTATAAAAATTTTTTAAAAATTTAGGCAGACACAGGAGCTGGGAGTGTGATCCCTGGGCTTGCTGCCAGCCCCACACCCAGGATGCACTGAGACCGCAATTGAGACTGGGCAAAGTGGCGCATGCCTGTAATACCAGTTCTTGGGAGGTTGTAAACAGGCAAATCACTACCAGTCTGATCTATGCTGGGAGACCCTGTACACCCTGTATTAAAATACAAAAAAAAAAAAAAAAAAAAGAGAGAGAGTGAGAGAGAGATCTTCTTGAATATCTGTGGCTACTCAAAATATTTTAGCCTCATTCTAGTATCATTAATATTAAAATGGAGAAACTTTCAGAAAAGTAGTAAGTACACTTTTTTTTTTTTTTTTTCAGTACCAGGGCTTGAACTCAGGACCCTATACTTGCCAGGCAGATGCTTATTCTACCAACCCTATATGTTGTATTATTGAAAAAGGAAAAAAAATCACTATGGCAAAGTTTGAAGGCTGCAAGAGATAGTTATAGACCTTCACTTAAAGATTATGTAATTTATCTAATGTAATATATTGGGTTACAGAGTGACTGAAAGGTATAAAACGTGTTCAAGAAAGATACCTATTGAAAATAAGGAAAGGGGTAGAAAGACATACACATCTTTTTCATACATTCATGTTTAAAAACCAAATGCAAGTGCTCAGTTCGGCAGCACATATACTAAAAAAAAAAAAAAAAACCACAAACCACAAAACATAAGCACAATTAGATCAGTCAAGAAATGGACTTCAGATATTTTTTAAAAGAACAGATACTTCTAAATTTTTTAAGTATATAAACTAAGTATATGAAAAAAGACTTTCTCTAAGTTCTACATAACATCATTGATACATCATAACCAAATAATGGTAGACATCATAGCCAAATAATGGCAGACACTTCTTCAATAAAAAAACAAAAAGCCATATATATATATGGGCATTGTGATATACAACAGTAATCCCAGCACTCAGAGAGCTGTACAGGAGGATCACCTCAAGTTCAAGACCAGCCTGGGCTACATAGTGAATTCAAAGTGAGCCTGAACTTTCAAGATCCTGTCTCAAAAACAACAAAAATAAAAAGACAATATATGTATTAAAATCACTAAGAAAAGATAATGCTACATAAAGTAAAAAACAAAACTATGATACAAAGCAGCTTTGAAGTTTTCCTTACATTATACTCTTGCTATACCTACAATAAGAAGACAGAATCACATAACAAGTAGAAAATGTATGAAGTCAGATCATCCTGTCACAGTCTCCCCAGCGCTGGGATTAAACACATGCACCAT